TCCATATTGGATGGAAATTTAAAACACGAAGAAAATTATTATAAATTAGTAACAATTTACAAATTAGCACATTCAAATTAACACATGACATAAATGTGCAGCAGATTTGAAAAAGTCTTCTCATATTTATTCAAGCTACAACATAGGTAGAAATTCTACCATCGTTGTTGACTTACTTACTTAAGCTTGTTAGCCCTAATGGAAAATGGGCAGCCTACCAACATTCTCTATCATGAGCCTTCTTTTACAATAATTCTATCCAACTGCTGTTCATTCTTTACATGTGTGTCTTCATTTCTCTGAGTAATGAGTTCGCTGGTCTTCTTCTTCTTCTTCTGTTCCTCTAGCCTTGAGGAATTCAAGTGACGGCTAGTCTTGTGATACAGTTGGGTGATTCCCTCAGTGTGTGTCCCCCTATCCAATTCATTCGCTTTCTCCTGCTGGAATCTGGTTTCCAGTTGACGAGAGAAATTAATTCGAATCACTGTTCAGTAGTATTCTTTAATTAATGGCATTATAAATAAGATCGTCGTAGCCATAACTCAGAGAGTAATATTCACATCTCAACGAGGAAAGAATATACTATTAGACCTGAAAAAAGTCGACCACTTTGAAGTGTTGAAGGAAAAAAAGTGTTTTAACTATACATTCTACAAACTAACGAGCTAACTAACTAACCACGATTGTGTATTTGGTAAGCCTGTGGTTATAAGAAATGGTTATTTAGAAATACACAAGTTATTCTCTGTGATTTGGTCCTATATGCTTGGTACGGGAAAATCTTATAGTGGAGACGAATCACTTGTCTAGTGCTACAAGGTTTCTACAGGTGATTAGGTATCATTTTAAACAGTAAAGTTGTTAGACATTAACACCATTGGATGCCGGCCCAGAGTTCCGATGGTTAGGCGCTCGCGCACAATACCGCAGGTCCCGAGTTCGTATCCAGGAGTCATGGATGCGCACTGCTACTGATGAGTCCCATACCAGGATGAAACGGCCGCCGTCTTTCAGTGCTTCCAGATTTCTAATCGTCGTCTAACAATGATTGATTGATGATTTCAAATGTGTAAAAACACAAACCTCCAAAACTCTGCCCGAAATGTGTTTATCTTTACCAGTAATAAAAATTATTATTCCCATGATTTTATTTACATCTTATTATAGAAAATTGATTGAATTACTTGATTGACAGTAAGATGTGATAATAAGGTGTGAATAGAATTCGTGTTCACAGTGTGATTCAATATGAATAATTCATGGACATATCCTATTAAGGGAAACCTATTTACGCTAACTGGTTTCGATGAAGTTTCAATTCATTGAACTAGACAGTTTAATCTTGGTGATTTCTCATTGTTCTTTCGAATAACATCATCAGAAAAACCATGGGCAAATATAGGATCATGCATCGGGGCAAAGCAGGAAACAATCTATATGAATCGATAGACAATAGCAGGTTAAAGTTTGACAATAGTCAATCAAGATTGGAGTTCGATAAAACAGGCTGTTATTTATAGGTAGAGAAATTCAAATACTTTACTTCTACCTGGAGATTGTGCTGTTGATATTGTGTCAAGAAGAGAAATAAAAGCTCCACAATTAAACTATCCAGCTCAAACGACATTAACTCCTCCAATTAAGCCATGAATTTTCTTTATCATCTCAAAAATAACAATTTGGAATTTTAATGACCGTATGAATAATATCAAACGATTCATAAAAGCTAAGAATCATTATTTTGTCTCAGTATACGACTCATGATCAGTGCTTAACATTGGATTCGAGATAGTGTTTATTAACTTTAGCTGCACAAATAGCTGTGTATTTGGTGGAGGTTCAAGGGTCAATAATCCACAAGAGATGTCTAACCGATTTCTAGGTATGTGTTACATATATATACCAGAATCGTGTAAGTTCAAGACCCACGCACTCCTTACACACATATAATAACACGTGCTTTATTGAGGTTCTTAAGTATTGAAAAAGAAGAATCGAACTTGCAGATAATGATATTAGTAAGTACACATTGAACGAACACTTGAAATATACAAATAGGCGGCAAATTATACACTTCACAGTATATATATATATATATATATATATATATATATATATATATATATATATATATATATTGAGTCTCATCAGTGCTAATGGCCTGATGACTGACGAAATCTGAGCACGGATACAGAAGGCTCGATTGGCTTTAGCCAACCTGCGTCACCTACGGCGCAGGCGAGATATCCACTTTCTAACCAAAGGACGAGTGTAATGTGCAGCAGTTCGTTCCGTCCTACTGTACCGATGCGAAACATGGTCGTTAAGAGTAAAGGACGTTCGTAGGTTACTAGTGTTCGATCATCGATGCCTCCGAGGCATTACTCGTGTATCATGGGACAACCGTATAAGCGATGCTGTCGTTAGGAAACGTGTTCTAGGTAAGGATGGAAAATCAATAGATGAAGTAGTGAAACTTCATCAGTTGAGGTGGTTGGGACATGTGTTACATTTGCCTAACCATCGACTGCCTCGACGAGCTATGTTTTGTGGTGTAGGAGTAGACTGGAAGTAAGCTAGTGGTGGCCAAACCAAAACATGTCACAAATCCATGTAGACACTGACAAGTGGAATGAGTCATGTTGGTGGATATAGGCTACCTGCTTGGGGTCTGCGAGACGATAGTCACCGATGGTTAGAGACCTTGAACGACATGTCTCAGAATCGTTTGCAATGGCGCAGGTGTATCCACTCTTAGTCTTCTCTCTAATTCTAACCTTCTGAATTCCTCTTCACCTCTATCTTTCTCTTTCTAAATTTATCTTACTGAATTATACTTCTCGAATCATATCTTCGCTCCCTAATCTTCTCCATTACTGCTAATACTTGGATTTGAACTGACAGTTACGTTTCTGTGCTGACGTGGTATGGTATGGCAACCTGAACTGATGTACTTACGTACGATGTTCTGCGTTGTATTTGTCTATATATATATACACATGAGTATAGCCATTTCAAATGACTATACACGCATACGCATAGATTCACTCATATATCCAGTAAAAAATACAAGCTTGAAATGATGATGATTATGATAGAAATAAGTTTAGAAAATAAATCGTATATATTATAATATTTATTACTCTTGGGCATTTTACATTTGCAACATTAGTGTTTTTGTGCTTTTAAACTTTTTTTGTTTGTTTTTTATTTTTGTTAAAAATATTAGAAATTATGCAATAAAAAAAGAAATGGCAAACTAAACGAACTCTATCATTTTCATGTTTTTTAACTACAAAAAACAAAACACAAACAAAATTAAGCAACGAGAAAAAAGCGAGGGAGAAACGAAATCAAAACAAACATTCAAATGCAAAAAATAATAATAATAATAACAAAGAGAGAGAGAGCGAAAAAAGTTACAAAGAAACAAGAACAATAACTGTTGAACATTGAACATTGAAAACAAAACATTCAAGCATCTGTCTCTCTCTCTACAGCTATTTTATTTTTTTCGGCTCTTTTCGAAAGAAAGAAAGAAGGCGTAAAAAGGAGGTCGATCTGGCGGGCGCGCGGGTTTTTTTTTCGAATTTTCCCAATTTGTTTCTTGTTTCTTTGTTGTGTTTTTTTTTCATAGAAAAAAATATATTTGTTCACAAAAAATAATTTTGAAAATGAAAAAAAACAAAACAAGAAATTATTTGAATCATTTCTAAATAATAAATAAATAAATGAATTTTTTTAAAAATAAAAAAAATGAAATTACATTAAATTATTATTGATGTGATTGCTAGTCTCGTCAATTAATTAGTTAGTTAGTTAGTTAGTTAGTTAGTTAGATAGATAGTAAATTATTACTAAAAATGTACACACAAAATATTATGTAAGTGGTAGGTGAAGGGAAAAAAAGGAGAAAAAATTAATCAATATTAATATTATTATTATTATTTTAATTATGATTATGATGATGATCATTAGTTGTCATTAGAAAACTATTCAATGAAAAATTATTATTAATAATAATTTATTTCACCAGCAAAATGACTCCATGCTCGATAATGTGTGAATGAAGTGAAACCATCGAAATTCGGTCGATAATCCAGGGTGTACGATGAAGGCGGAGGCATATTCGTCGATTCAATGGTACAATGTTCAATATTTAAATTTAATGTTTTATCCATGCCAGATGATGATGATGATGTAATCGATTTATTATTCAATGATGACGATAAAGAATGATCATTTGAATGATCACTGTCAACATTTAACATATTCATCATATAGATTGGATGATGATGTTTACGTTGTTCAATAATATAATTCTTATGATCATTATTATCCCAATATTCTGTTTTATGATTATCATTGTTTGATGCAATAAAACAAATAGCAAATTCAATTTTATCATTCACATCAAAATATGGTTGTTGATCTGATTTAATCGTGATATTAAATATAAATGTATCATAACGTTTCGGTCCAGACCATGTACCTGATGATAATTGTGAACTATACACTGCTTGATAATCTGTATAAGTTTGCCAATTATTTTTAGTCAGACGTAAATATATAAATTTTTCAAAACAAATATTTTTAACTCTTATTGTACCAGAGAGTTTAACATCAGATGAAAATGATGGAAGATCATTGGATGAGGATTGAGTAATATTAATACTTTCTAATGAAACAATATTTTGTTCAAGTTTTTGACGAAATTCATAATAACGTGAAGCTGGTTGAGAAAATGTTAAACTCCATATATAATGTGATGATGATTCGATATCAGTAGTAGTAGTATTGAAAGAATTTTTTGATTTAATCAATTGATTATGATTAGTTTTTTTTTCACATGGATTCATCAAGGTGATCGGCTTGAATTCCGTCTTGAAATATTCATCACCGTAAAATATTTGAAATTTCGATGAACGTTGTTTATATGGAGTATCCAATGATTTGTGCGGTTTTATTGAGCCAAAATTGAGATTTTCAAAACTATCGTATACTGATAGAGAGAGTTAAATAAATGAATGAAATAAGTTCGTGAGTATTATTTATTCATTCAAAGGTTAAATTAATTTATCAAAATGCATTCAATCAGTCAGTCAGATGCAACGTAGAACTTCGTACGTCAGTACATCATCAGTTCATGCTGCCATACCACATCAGCACAGAGACGCAAATGTCAGTTCAGATTCAAGAGTGATAGCGATAGTAGAAGTATTAGCAGTAATGGAGAAGATTAGGGAGCAAAGATATAACTCGAAAAGTATAATTCTGTGAGATAAATTTAGAAGGACAAAGGTAGATATGATAAGGAATTCAGAAGGTTAGAATTAGAGAGAACACAAACAGTGGATGTACCTGCGCCATTACAGACGATTCTGAGCCATGTCGTTCAAGGTCTCTTACTATTGGTGACTATCGTCTCGCGGACTCCAACCAGGTAGTCTACACCTACCGACATAACTCAGTCCACTTGTCAGTGATTTCATGGATTTCTGCCATGTTTTGGTTTCGCCACCCCTAACTTTCTTCCAACCTACTCCTACACCACGAAACATAGCTCGTCGAGGCAGTCGGTGGTTAGGCATATTTAACACATGTCCCAACCACCTCAACTGATGAGGTTTCACTATTGATTTGCCATCCTTACCTAGAACTCGTTTCCTAACGACAGCATTGCTGATACGGTTGTCCCATGATACACGAGCAATGCTTCGGAGACACTGATGATCGAAGACTAGTAACCTACGAAAGTCCTCTACTATTAACGGCTATGTTTTGCATCCGTACGGTGGGACGGAGCGAACTGCTGCACCGTACACTCGTCCTTTGGTTAGAGGGCGGATATCTTGCTAGCGCCATAAGTGACGCAGGTTGGTGGTATACAAGATACCTTCTAGCTAGACGCGAACCGATACAGGACTACCAAAAATACAATATTTATCAAACAAGATCGTAATAATATTCCAGTAGAAAAAACAGTAGGTAAATTGTGATACAAAGTAAAATGATAAATAAGAAAACATGTTAAATATTAAAGTTAAAATAAAATGAATCAAGGTTATTTGGTTATCAAGACTGTTTCGTCCTTGTATAAGACTCATGAGCAGTGCGCACCCATAATCTCTACTCCCAGTAATTGAATCCAAAACCTTCAGTTTCTCGCGCGAATGCTTAAACTCTAAGCCATTGAGCCGGAGTCCAAGAGTGTTAATATTTAACCTCAATTAATACAAGGTATTGCACAGTCTCATCCATTGCCTCACATTCAGCACGGTTGAACTCCACTGGTCATGGCTTCTCATTAGAACTCTGAGAATTTCCTTACGAAGCTATTCATTAGTGAGTACATGATAGTTGCCATTATAGGGTGTGAGGCAGTTGCCTACCATGGATGCTAGCTCAGTGGTCTATAGGTTAAGCGTTCGCACACAAGACCAGAACTTTCAGATTTGATTCCTGAATGCGTGGTCGTGAATGCACATTGCCGATGAGTCCCTTACTAGGACGAAATGGCCATACAGTACTTCCAGCTTTCTAATAGTGGTCTAATATTGATCAATTCATGATTTTAATGGAAATTAACGTTTTTTTTTTAAACTGTATAAAACACATGATATGAGATCTAGGGTCATGTCACCTTTATTGTCATTAATATTATTCATGAATCATAATTCCAATTAATATCAATAGATCCTTTAAACACAATTTATTTTAAAATAATGTATATATTTGACTGAAATAGATTTTATACAGATAAATGAGTTGTAACGATACACTGAAACAAATCTGTATTGTTTTTATTTTAAAAAAATGAGATGTATATAGAGTTTAGTGTATTAGTATTAACAAACATATGTTCCAACTAAAATGTTACCATTTACAAATGAAATTGTTTGAAGTTACGAAATAACCAAATATGCCTCGACGAGCGATATTTTGTAGTATTGGAGTAGGTTGGAAGAAATTTAGGGGTGACCAAACCAAAACATGGAACAAGTCCATGAAGTCACTGACAAGTAAACTGATTCATGTCGATAGATGTAGACTACCTGGTTGGAGTCCACGAGACGAAAGTAACCGATGATTAGGGACCTTGATCGACATGCCTCAAAGTCGTTTGCAATGGCACAGGTGCATCCACTCGTTGTGTTCTATGAAATTTTAATCTTCTGAATTCCTCATCACCTCTGTCCTTCTCTTTCTAAAATTATCTCATCGAACTATACTTCTTGAATAATATCTTTGAACTCTAATCTTCTCCATAACCGCTAACACTTCCACTATCTCTACCCCTATTGGATTTGAACTGACAGCTGTGTCGCTGTGCTAATGTGGTATGGCAACCTGAACTGATGTACCTACGTTCAGGTAGGCAGGTAACTATATATCTTGATGTTGAAATCAATACGCATGAAATTCTGGTTCGTACTGGAAGTAAACGTATAAAATTATAGTGTATCGTGGTATTAGCTTACATATCAACCGGTCACTATACTGAATACAGTAGTTGTGTAGTAACTGACCATTGTAAGAACAAATTTCATTGCATAGACATATGACATTTCGTATTTGTTTTTTTTGTATGAAAACTGTATTCATCTGCTGGTTTGCTCTTTTACAGTCATATTGATTTCTTCAATTTCAACGGGTTTCTCCTTTTTTTCGTCTACAGATAGTCCGAAGTTATTATAATCAATAAAACGAAAAAAGGGAATTCTGCGAAACAGAAAATAAAGAATTCTACCCTCCTGACCTTGGTACCAAACAATTTTTAACACTAACTAACTAATCAAGAATGAATACGGTACCGTAAACTGTAGTCTAAACAATTTTATATTTATTAATGACAATTAGTCGCTTTTATAAATTTTGACAGAACAGTGAAAAGACGTAATAGATTTGAAAAATGTTATGATGTATTTGTGCGCTATACATTTTGAACAGTCTGGTCACACATATACATACTTGTCAAGGCATTTTTATCTGAAGATTCATAAAAGGTCAATTCAATAAAAGTTAAAATAGACATAAGGGCATAATTGTAAATGAAGGAGAGAGAAAATTAACATAATATGAAAAGAATAAGAAAGGGTTGGAAAATTGTCACATTACCCTAGGCTTATGTCTATTAAAACTTTTATTTAATTGACCTTTCATGAATCTTCATATAAAATGCCTTGACAAATGTACATGTGTGTGACTAGATTGTTCGAAATGTATGTAGTGCAAATACATTACATAGTTTTTAAGATTAATTACGTCTTCTCATTGTTTTATCAAAATATATTTATTTATGTAGATAAATCAACCTTTGAAAGAAATAAAGTTGAAAAAAATTATCACATAATTTTAGTAATGATATTAACTGATAATTAGTTCGAAGTGGATAGGGTATACACTGAGAAAAGCACCCAACTACGTCACAAGATAAGCCCTCACTTGAAACCCTCAAGGTCAAAGGAATAGAGGAAGGCCAAAAAAACACATTACGCTGAGAAATAGCGACAAACATTAGAAGAATGAACAAAAGCTGGAAAGAACTGTTAAAAGGGAAGCCCAGGACAGAGTTGGTTGGAGAAAAAACTGGTCGGCAGCCTATGTGCTCCACTGAGGGTAACAGGAATAAGTAAGTAATATTACTAATAAGTAATTTATTTTCAATGCTACAAAAATATTTTTGTTATCTCATCTTATATTTTGTTACTCAGTTATGCATAAAATCATTTTTGCTTTGAATTCAGGAAGTTTTTTAGTAGGCAGGATAGTGTGACAAATTATTCTTTCGATCATTCTTTTATGTATTCAGCCTACATGTTTCCTGTATTTTATTTTTTTTTAATGGTTGATTGAGTTATCCGATTTTATTTGTTGGAAATAATAGACTACTATAAATTGAACATTTCTCTCACTTTGACTATATAAGTTGAAAGGCTGATCAACGAACTAGGCTTGTTTAGAGATGTGAACTACACACTGTAGCTATGCTTTGAGCATAAGCTCTAGTTGTACACTTATAACCCACGAAAATTACGTTAAAGAATCATGTAACAACGTTGTAGAGTAAAGTAAATGAAAAGGTTTTCATAAACAACAAAATGCACTGAGTTTGAACGTTTGACTGTGAATAGTTATAACTACACAGATATTGGTAAATCGAACCTGAGACATACCATACAGGTAGGTAGATGATGATGAAACTAACTTTGTTTCGTTCATTTACCAAGATAGATTATACTCACCAAAGGAATGAGTAATCTTACATTTGATAAGTAAGACTATTCTAAAAACTCTACAATGAACTTTTCAAGTGATTTGCGATATATATATATATATATATATATATATATATATATATATATATATATATATATGTCACTCTATTAATAGAACAATCGCCGTACAAATGACCAGGTGATAACATTTCTGATTCTGATACTCGGAAATAACATGCTTCAATAAAAAAGAGACAATCAACGCCTTGATGTCTGGAGTAACACTCTGGTTACAGTTGTTAACTATTATGAAGCATTTTTACCAATGTTTCCTAACAATTAATTCCAATTAACTAACATAGAAATGACTCGATTTTAAGCGAAATACTTCAATCATCGTGTTTTTCATACATCTAGTAATCTATATTAATTTATATCAAAATACAAACTGTTTCATACTATACAACTGGATCACAGAGTTCATCGGTTAGTCAGTCAGTCAGTCAGCGACAACGTAGAACTTCGTTCGTAAGTACAGCAGTTCAAGTTGCCATTCCACATTAGCACAAAGATATAATTGTCACTTCAAATCCCATAGTAGTAGAGGTAGTAAAAGTATTCGAAGTAACCGGAGAGATTTGGGTCCGAAGATGTTATTCAAGAAGTATAATTCAGTGAGGCAAATTTAGAAATAGAAAGAGAGATGTGGTGAGGAATTCAGAAGGTTAGAGTTTCATAGAACACAACGAGTAAATGCGCCTGCGCCTTTGCAAACGATTTTGAGCCAT